CCCCAAAACCCCAAAACCCCAAAACCCCAAAACCCCAACATAATTAAAAATAATTGAAACCCTAATGGAAATGATCATCATGAAGCAGGAGCTTGCTTTTATTGAAAAGCTCACAAATTTACTTGTCAGGTAAGATACTCTTCTGATCATTATAGTAAAGTAGGAGAGGACAAGGACGAAATTGTTTTCGATCAAGACATAGAAGGTCCCTCTTCAGAGAGCTTCTGTCTTATCAATATTGACAGCTTTGATGCTAAGCAAGAAATCAAGCTCTCCCAAAACCCTAAGATAGATGTCTTCAAAGTTCTTGGGAGAATCAAAAAGTGTAGGAATCTATTAGATAAAATCCCTGAGCAATACTGAAAGAACTTTCTCACTGATATTGATCAAGCAGAAAAAGATATTGAAGAAGTGAAAACTCAGATATGGGACCAGGAGGACCAATACAAGTAAGAAATATCACTCAAAATAGGCCTCGCTTGCCAGAGCTTAGCCAGCTTCAGAAGCCTTCCTTAATTGATCGACTTAAGAAGAGTAAAATCCTTAAAGGTACTTAATTTATTTAAATTTAGAAACTCTGAACAACACAGAGAGTGCATTTACTTATGAAGAAAGGCTACAACAGATTATCAAATAAAGTAGAAGGCTACACAGACTCCTTAGAGGAAACCAAGGTGGATGAAGAATCTGACAATAGTGACTACTATGATGTAGAGAACGATCCTGATGATAATCTTGGCGATGAGAAGAAGTACTATACTTACAAGATCACCTTTGCGATGCTTGAAGAGAAATTACTCAAACCTCTTGATGAAGAGGAAGTTGTAATTGAACAACAAGAGCAGGATGATGAACCTTATTCAATCAATAATGTATATTATAGGGATTTATATTTATAGGAAGGAGGACTCAGAAAAAGAACCACTAGTATGAAGACAGACACCTCTAGAGCATCTTTGTCCGAGCACAAGGAGATGTCAGAACATATGACGGATCAAATGATGGGCTCAGCAGTCGAGATGAAAAAGATAGCAAGACAATTTGGAGAAACTATAAGGACAGATACGGCAGTGATAGATGAAATCGAGCGTAAGCAGAACAAAAACCTCTCAAAAACTAAAAAGGATGATGATAAGATGAAGAAAATAGCAGCCAAAGAGAGCATAGGTTTTTGTATGCGCATCCTGACTCTGCTGTTCTCCTTTGGGATGTTTGTCTTCATCTTCATTATCATCAGGTTATTCCCATTGAAGATTTATCCTACTCCATCTGTGTAAGAATAATTAAAACAGTTCAAACACTTGTATTTGCTGCGGGGTTTTGGGGTTTTGGGGTTTTGGGGTTTTGGGG